GGTCGTATATATATATATATATATATAGTTACATACATAAAAAGGGATAGGGGGCGAGCGAGTGAAAGGAAGTAGGGGCGTGGATGAGCGGCATGCATGGTTATCAACTGGACTGGGAGGACGACACGGTTTATTTTTATTCCCCACGCACCGTTCCACCTGCCCTCAATAAGTACACCAAGCTGATTTCGGATCTCCTACAAAATTCTCCCATCACCGATGCTCTCCCTGGTGGCGCCCCGGAGGCCATTATCCTCTGCGAGGATGCAAAAACGGTGCTTGAGAAGGAAAGCGTAGTTCTTGACATTGATGTCACTGAAAGGGATGATCTGATTATTGTTGGTGACATCCATGGCCAATTCGCGGACCTGTTACAAAATGTGCTCTCGCTGCAGTTGTTGCGGCGAACCAAGGAACATGCTCCTGATAAGGCCTCGGCTTCGGAATACAAGTTATTGTTTTTGGGTGACTACGTTGACCGGGGCCCACGCAGTGTTGAGGTGATCACCCTTCTTCTGGCTTTAAAGATAGAATACCCTGCACACATTTTTCTGCTCCGTGGAAACCATGAGGAGGCGCAAACATGTCGCATGTACGGTTTTTTTCAAGAGTGTCGTGTAAAATTGGAGGGGACTGGCAGGAGCGTAGGCGGCGACTCTATGAATGTGTCAGACAGCGCATGGTTGCACTACAACATGGTTTTTTGTTGGTTGCCGCTCGCAGCTGTGGTGCGGTGCCCCGCTGGAATGTTCTTCTGCGCGCATGGTGGTCTGAGCCCCAAGACGCGGACCATCGTTGGTCTTAAATCGCTTCGTCGGAACGAGTACGGCCAATTATTAGAGACCTCCTCAAGTCTGTATCTTCCTTCACCCACAAATGACAGCGACGCGGAGTTGTCATTTGCTGATGAAGGAAGCATTGTCGATGGGCTGCTGTGGTCCGACCCTGAGGACGACGTCCATGGCTTTCAAATCAATCGTAGAGGATGTGGTTTCATTTTTGGGCCCGATGTCACAAGGCAATTTCTCGAGCGCAATTACGGCTATTCCTTCACGTCGCGACTGCCAGGGGAACGGAGAGAGGAATTGCAGTTTATTGTTCGCGCCCACCAGTGCGTTGAGGATGGTTACCACTGGGCCCATGGAGGTCTTGTGCTCACGCTGTTTTCCGCCCCAAGGTACTGCGGCATGAACAACAAGGGTGCCTTTGCCGTGCTGCGCGGCGGGGCAAACGTCGGCAAGGACCGGGTATCTTTTGAGTACAAAGTTTACGACATTGCCCCAACGTTGCCGACCGGAATGCTTAGGCTGCGCACTTCCTCTGATGCTGCAGCTGCTGCTGACGCCGTGCGGATGCTCAATGGGCTGATGCTCAGCGACTACTTTGAGGATAATGAATAGAAACGAAACGCTGGCGATCATTTTTTTTTTTTGCTTTTGGTTTAAAAAAAACAGACAAAAAAACCCAACGGAGGGCAATGGGACATAAAAATAAAAAATAAAGAATTCAAGAAGGCATAAAAGGCGGCTGGAGGAGGCAACTAATATTTCAAAAAAGTTCTAGGCGAAGATTATATATCTATACAAATATGTACGGATGGGTGTATAGTTGAAGCCCAACTTTTCCAATAACGCATTATTGTACATTCCTTTCCCCTTGTTTGGATACTCCCTACTTGGACTTGAGCTCCGACTGTTCACCTGTACGCTGGTGTAACACCAGTGTGGCCTTGGCGACCACCGTTCTTTTTTTTTTTTGTCTTCTGTGTGTGTGTGTGTGCTTTCCGAGCTATCTTTGAGCAACTGAGTGGACAGACGCACATCCGCGCATGTAAAATTACATTCATATCTCAAGCTATACATGAATGCGCACATTATACGTGCGTATTCCCTCCGCTTACCCCCTCCCTCCGCTCCCGCACCAACGGTCGAGTTATTAGCACTGTGCTTTCATTT